GAAGGTTGTTTTCCCGCAGTTCCCTGGTTATCTGTGGTACTGTTGCTCCCCCGTCCAGTTGTACCTTCAGCTTCAGGTGCTGGAGCAGCAACATCGACTTCACCTTTATCACCATTCTTACGTTGACGTTCTTCCTTCGAAATACCGGTTGAGGCATCATCATCAGTAGCAGGAGTACCGGGTTTGTCCTCAACAGGACGTGCCTCCACAGAACCATGAGGAGCGTTAGGTTCAGGTTCTTTCAGTACAGATGGATCGGGTTTTTCTGGCGGTTTAGGCAGAGGACAAGATGCAGAAGAATTAGGAGTGCAAGGGACAACTTGTTCAGCTTCCTGCAGAGGATGTGGAGGAGAATGAGGTGGTTGTTGGAGTTGGCCACGCTGAAGACTCTCACTACCAGTAGGAGAATTTGCAGTGAGAGAATGAGAAGCAGCGTGACCACCAGAGGCACAATTTCTACAATGAGTATCGGAAGGGCAAGAAGCACCACCAGAGCCAGAATGTTCAACAGCTTCCTTCTTGTCTTTATCCTTCTCTTTTTCATCCTCCTTTAAATGAGTTTCGTCAACATCCTCCTCACCTTCCTCTTCATCGTCTTCGTTACACTTAGTCGTGAGAAGAAGCGCAGGAACAGCACGACGAACAAGAGACGGAACACCAACAATTGATGTTTTAATAAGGGTATTTGAAGCTTGTGGATTATCAGCCCATACTAACCCACAAGCACAACACAGTGCAAGAGTTAGTAAACAAAGCAGGTAACACCTCACCATTACAACCAATGTCATTGTACCTGACTTCAATAGACTAATACAAGAAAGAAGAAGGCAGAGAAAGAATTATGATAGAAGCAAACAAACATACACCAATACAAGAAATACTCACAGTGGAAAAGAGAGAGAAGCAACAAATGCACAGTAAAGCAACAACAAGAAATATTCCGCTTGTAATGATAATATGTACCCATTAATAGAACACACATCCCAACACCCAAATAAGAGAGAGAGCCAAACACACACACACACAATATCCCATGGCTCTAGTTTATGTATATTAAATTACTCCACACACACATCTGGATGTACTAGCAAGAAATGTATACCGTCAGTGAGCAGAACAACCCAGTGTTCTACACACAACGGGAAAAGCAAGTAATGGAATTATTAGAAAAAAGAACACACACATACAAAAGCAAAAACAAAAGAAATTCCAATTAAAAAAGAACGCTGGTAAACAGATTATTAATTTATTCACCCATGGGGTGGATGCACGCAATTACGATTATGTTAGTTTAACCATTATTTATTATTTGTCCTCAAGTGAGTCCCACCGGTCAGTACACGGTAACAGTGAACAACACAGCCACAATCAGCAGCGGTGCTGCAGTGCGCATCCACACAGGACTGACACTGCTGATGTCAGCATTGACATTCTTCTTTACAGTGGATGCAATGGAGTTGATCTCTGGGACTGCCTTAGGGGTAGTAGTTGAATTGGTTCCTTCTGTGTCTGCTATCGCACTCACACCCGTGGCTGCGCCAGAAGTACTGTCACCTTTACTGTTGTTAGTGGAAGATGTTGACATTGTGCTGCTCTCTGCAGGTACACTCGCAGAAGAACTCGTTGATATTGTAGGTTGTGCGGGTGTATTCAATGTCTCTGGGTCATCTCCTTCTTTTTCACCTGATTGGGGTCCAGCCACTGTTGTTGTACCTGGTCCACTACTATCCTCAGCACCAGTTATTCCTTTAGGTGATAGAGTAGAGGATTCATCTCTATTAGGTGATACTTGTTGTTTTTCTTTTTCTCGTTTTTGTTGGTCAATACGAGTTGGACCACTTGAAGGTTCCACAACTTGAAGATGGTCTACCTCAGGAGTTAATGCCTCTCCAGCGCCCTGAGGAGAATTTTTGCGTAATTCCTCCTCTTCACTGGATAATTCATTACCATCCAAGTTACGATCCACACCATCCGAATGGACATCAGAGTTACTCTGTCCTCTACCCAAATTATTTCCTGTAGTGCTCTCTTGAACATGGTTAACACTCTTTCGAGATGATTCAACAGGCGGCAAAGGCTCACTAAAAAAATCCTTTCCATCGGGTTGGCGATACCTTAAAAGATGACCACCAAATGCCATCGCCGTCGATGATTCGTCAGCACGAGGAACAACAGCAGAAGGTGAAGACACAGCAGCAGCCGCCATGGTATACCCGCAGGTGCAGCACAGCACAACAGCCAACACACACATCACACGGCCCATCATCATCATGAGAGTCAGAAAGGTTTGTTTATCGTAAATACACTGATCTAGAAATAAAGACAATCAAAAAGAAAAAAAAAGAAAATAAATGAAGTATCAAACATGTTAGCACACACACAAATCGATTACCACTATGGAAACTCACATCGTGAAAAGTAAAACCTACCGTGTGTAAAGAATGCAATACAGCGCAATAACCTCAGTAAGAGTAAAAAGAAAAAAAAACCATACTCCGAAATATCTCAAAAAAGGTTCAGCCACCAAGCAAAACCACACTAGCAAACACACAGATATTAACCATTAGCCCAATTTACCCAGTAAACACAGAAATATACACCAACTATGGGTGTAAGTCTATATGTGTATATACGCAATTATAAATATAAATTCATCTCTTAT